TGCACATTATCATTAATGACACCTCAAACCTTCATTAATGCACATTAACCTCTTTCAACTACCTCATAAATGCCAATTTTGAATATTAAATGCACCCATGGACCATCCACTTCATCAATGTAGTGTTTTAATATATTAAATTACTCCCATTAATCTCATTTTAACCAATGAAATCAGACCCATATTCCCATGGACCAAAAATTCATCTCCCAACTCAAACCCTACCATAAATAATCATAAATGAGGGAGGAAAGGGAAGCAGAAAGCACCATAATCTTACCTTAGGTGTTTGGGAGCTTTAATCTATCAACAATGGGACCAAAAGTCATGCCCTAGCAAAGCCAAAACCAAGCTCTTTATTTTCCTCCTCTTTCTCTCTTCTGTTTTCATGCAGAGACGAATCAGATATATCTTATTTTTAACTGTGCGCTGCGGCGCACGATGCCCTTTGCTGCGACGCATGGCACAGAGGAGCCCGTTACGTTTAAATTGTGTCCGTGCACCGTGGCGTGTGGCACAAAACACAGCTCTTTACTTTTTCATCCTCTTTCCTTGCCCGGGTGGCCCGCCATCAATCCGGACCCACTTTTAGGGCTGAAATATAACAATTATGTCAAGTTAAGCCCCTCTAGCTACACAGCTCATTAACTCACCAACTACCCTAATTAAGTTAACAAATCAAGGTTAAAATTTTCTGGATGTTACAATCATCAACATAGTCTTGAGGATCTTCTCGCTTGGCATAGATACAAGAAACAACATGCATGCAAGACATTACACAATATTGTTAAAATTGACTATGATAACCCTGAAAATATGAATGGCCTAAACCAATACCTATATGGAATTTCATTTAATTGCCACCAACTACATTCACAACTATTGACTTTAAGCTCAACAAAGAATAAATAAGAGTTACAAGATGCTTCAAACATGTCATTTCTGACCTCTATTGCTCACATTTTCAAGATTCTTCAACCTCTTTATCAAGCCTTTTATAAGGTTGGGGACACACTCTTCTCTTGCCATGATACTTTTCTACTTTGGCACAATTTTATGCAAATCTTGTTATCAAATAGACCCAAATCCAATCAAGTAGACTAATAATTGGAAGTTTACTTGCCTCTAATAGTCTACCATCAAAGGAATCTAATATGTTATTCATAATCATATCACATTTTGAGTACTGAAAAGTATGACTTGGTCTAACAAGAAGGTTTAAAAGACATCAAGTGATCATGCTCATCCTTAAAGACATTTGTTAACTGCCTCATTTGTTCTTCCCATGCTCTCTTGTAAGTGGCCTTTGTTACACATATAACTAGATCTCTGATAATAGTTCCACCACTATAACTTGACTTTATGTTGGCAGACTAATGCCTCACATAATATATATGTTCAGTACCTTCAAGCAAGTGTTCAAATGTTTGAACTAAACCCTAAAAATGGAACACATAATTAGTAACATCAATTCAAAGAACCACATGGAATTTAAAAATTCAAATAAATACCTTTTTCTGGTATGAGATGAATACCTTTTACAGGAACCACGTCCAAGAATCCCTATTCTTGCTTTCAACCATAATCATAACAAATGGAATATATTGATTGTTGGAATCATGAAATATAGCCACTAACAATATACCTCCAAATTAACCCTTCAAAAAACATCCATTCAACCCAATGATAGACCTACAAGCTAACTTAAAACTTCATTTCACTGGTTCAAGATATTGATATAATCTCCTAAATATAAGTGGGCAATCTACATATGGCCTATCAGTAACAAGACAAAATGTTGAATTTGATATTCTTTTTTTAATTTCATTACAAAAGTCCCTCAACATATGATACTCTTCTTTATGATCTCCCACAATTATTTCCCTTGCAAGTTTCCTAGCCCTATATGCCTTGTTAATTAATGGTCAGGCCATATAGCCTTTACTTGTTGCTGAAATCACATTTGCCAATTTCATATTTTTGCTCACCTTTACATGAGGTACTATCTTTTTTGAAACCATCTTTGATGAAGCCAACCTTAAAGCAAATGTTACTCCACAATTATATTTTGAGTTGTATGTTTTGAACTGATATGTTAAGGAGTCACCAACTTTACTAGCAAAGATCAACAAACCACATTTCTTCTTACATATAATCTAACATATATGGCTTTCATTTCTCAAAAACTTAATATCATATCCATGGATGAGACAATAACTAGCACCAGGAATAAGGACCAAACTTGACGGGCAGGCCATTTAAGCCCATTTTTATAAGGGTTTGGGCTTGAAAAAATGTTATTTTTTGAGGGAAACCAAGCTTTAAAGCCAAGCCCTGATAGGCCTTGAAAAAATAGGCTCGGACTTGGACTCGAGTAACTCTTTTAGGCCCTTTTTCATGTTAACTCTAAAAAAATAAAATATATTTATTTTTAAATTGAATTTAAACTTTAAAATATAGGTTTACACTTTAAGATTTAATTTTTTATTATTTATTTTAAATTTTTTGATGTTATAATTTATATTTTAAAAATAGATAAAATGTTATAATTGAAATTTTTAATTTTAAAAAAATTCAAAAAATAAAAAAAATAATATAGGAACAATCTGCACGTTGTACAAATATAGGATCAATCTTTGAACACTCAAATTGGTTTCCCAAGACATTAAAACAACTGCCACAGCCTTGTCCAGCATCATCAACATCAATAAAACATTGAAAATAATCATCCCCCAATTCTCTCATTACTATCATCAAATTCATCAAACAAATAATCATCAGGTAAACTCTCGTCCTTACTTCCTGTTTTTGATGCATTATATGGTTTCGTATTATAACCTAAATAAAACAAAGATATAAACAACAGAACAAGGTAGCAACAAAACGAAATCACATAAGAAAAAACACAAAAGAGGAAGATAGCTCAAAGAAGACACATACAAGCCAATGTTTTAAAAGTTAGACCGAATGTTGAATAAGAAAAGTCAGCGGTTCTTAGTTTTTATGGTCTAATTGATTAGACTAGCAGTTGGACCAATGATGTAATAATTAAATAACAATAATATTAAATGTCTATGTAAAAGAAATATGAGAAAAAATCTATATTATGTTAATAAAATGAAATAATATGACCGTAAATTAATAATATTATAAATTATAATTTTATAATTTTTCAAATATAGTTAGGCCTTAGTTAAATTAGACATAATTAAACATAAAAGTATCTATAGTTGCACCTATAACTATCTTATTTTATAACATCTTTATAAAAAATTAGTTTTAAATCTTATTTTATATATTTAAATTGTCCAAAAATAAAGTTTCTTTTTTAGTAGGATCTAACTTTTAAATTTTTTTATTTTTTTTAAATTAAGCTTTTATTAATAATATGTTTAAAATCGTTCAGTTTTTTGAAAACCACTTCAATTCCGGTTCAACTTTGATTTTTGACTTAATAGTAGTTCAACTCCAATTCAATCTAGCCCAATCATAAACACATTTTTTTATCCAAACCAAGCCATTAACGGCTCCGGTCGATAGTTTGATCGTCTGACTCAATTTGATTTTTAAATTATTAGTACAAACACATGTGCACTGGAACAAAGAGTATAATAGAAACACGGCCAAGAGTGGAAGACAAACCTATTTTTGAATTTTAGAATCAAATGGAAGTAGCGGAGAGTGATCAAAGTCGACACTCAATGTAACAGAGCATGGCATTGGAAGCCTAATGTAGAGTGATCAAAATTGAACTTTTTTTCAAAGAGAACAGAGGATGCAAAGAAAGCAAAGGGGGTTGGACGCTACCTTCAAAAACCATCGTGTGTTTTTGTTTGTTATAGGGTTCAGAGTTAACGCCGTTTGTGTCTCGTAAGCTCCTCAAGTGATTTCCAAATGTAAAAAAGCCAAAAAGGTAACGCATATAACAGATGAAATATAAAGGATGGAAAGAAAGCAAAAATAACATAGGTACCAAATTAAAGATTGAAGGAAACTAAAAGTAACATCAAAATGGTTTTCCCTTTTTTTATATATTAATTTTTAAAATACAAATTATAAAATTTAAAAATTAAAAATGAATAATAGAAATTATAATTTTAAAATGTAAACATATATTCTAAAATTTAAAATCAATTTAAAAATTAAATTTTTTTTTTATTTTTTACATGTTAAAATAAAAAAGACTTCCTGAGTCTAAGCCCGTTTTTAGGGCCTATTAGGCCAAGATTCACATCCCTATGTTTCTGAAAAAAAAAAAAAAGCTATTTTCAAGTGTGAATATTTATAAAAACGAGTTAAAATGGGTTGTCCATTAAGCTTGGTACTTATTTTCCGACTTTACCTTTTAGTTATCATTGATTTTAAATTAAGTTTCTATAATTTATTTTGTTTGGATCAAGTTCTTGTGATTTGATTAATTAAATAAATTAATCCTTAAAAATTAAAATTATTAAAGAATAATCAATTTTTCAAAACAAAAAAACTTTTTGTTGGTAAAAAAAACCAAAAACACTTTTAAAATTTATTGAAAAATTGATTTAACACTTTAAGCTAAAAATATAAAACAAAAATTTTATTTAATATAATTTTTAAATTTTTATTATTTTTTATGAAAATGCTATTTCAAAAACATAACCTAATTATTTAAATTTTGAATTATAAAAGTTATCTAATTAATTTTAAATTTATATAATATCTCAATAAAAATACAAAAGTTCTTAATTAAAATAATAAAAAATTTAAGGATTTTAACCTATAGGGATTTAATCTAACAATAACTATTTAATTAAAGTAAAATAAATTATAAATACCCAATTTAAAATTAAGAAAGCCTAAGTATTTCCCAATCATAATATTGTAAATTGTAAAATAAACATAAAGCGCGTGGTTACACGGGACACTAGAAATTGTGGACCAGCAATTTTGGGAGGAAGGAAGGGAACAAAACTTTTAAAATATAAGAAATGGAACAATGATCTGTGATGGTAATTCATTTGTATGTTGGAGACATGAGAATCTGAAAACTTCCAAGGAATCATGTACGCGGCTGTTTTCGGTTCCCAACCTGTCCTTCGCTATCCCACGTTTGCCCTCTTCAGCAAACAGTGGTATTTAGGAAAATCTTCTCTTGCGCTGAAAGGTATTGATAATCTTCCTTTCCAATTTGCTTGATTCCTGAAAAGTTTTCCATTTTCAACACCAATCTGAAGGATATTCAAGTTTTCTAAATTGTCGCTGAGTGCCCAAAAATGCTTGGATGAGAGACTGAGAGGATCATTGTTTGATGCAGCTTGTTAAATTTGGCAGAGTTTTCACCATTGATGCCCCTGGAGGGTTTAAATCAGTTTAGCTTCTCAAACATAAGGTGTCATGCGGACAAAAGGGAAAAGGACCAAAAGAGAAACAAGCAGGTCTCTGCAAGAACTGAAAAGGGAGATCAAAACCAGAGACCTGGAAGAGCATTTGATGGTAATAGATCCAAGTCACCTGACCAGCAAGAGATAATTGCTCTGCTCAGACGGATACAGTTGTCCATATCAAAGGCTGACTCACAAGGCACCCCAAAAAGAAATTCTCCTCCACACAAGGATAAATCCTCAGTTGAAGCAATTCTGGATGTTCTTCGAGACTCAGGAAAGCAAGTGAAAGGTAATTCTCGGTGTTTGTATCCATGGAAATCATTAGTGTGTGGTTTGTTTTCCTTTGCATTGTGATTTTTCATTCTGCAGACAAAGTTTCAAAGGAGAGCACAGAAAAGGAAGCTCTCAAGACAGAACCAAGCTCTACTTTGACGAGACTGCCATCAAACTCTGTAAGGAAATCGCCTATTCCATCGATTCCAGCACCAAGAGGAAGAGTTCTCGAGCTAGAAGATGAATCATCCGCAGCTAGTGGTGTGGAAGACAAGCAAGGCCAATCTGACAGAACACTGGAGAGAATGAAACTTCCAGAGCTAAAAGAACTAGCCAAGTCCAAAAAAATCAAAGGTTACTCTAAACTCAAGAAACGTGAACTCATCCAAGTACTAGGGTCCTAGATAGCATAGCAGTCCTCCTGATCCTGACTGTCAAGAAGCCAGATTGTTGATTTGAACTTTAAAACAAAATTTGATTTTTTGTTATTAATGACACCTTACATAGTTATGGTTGAAAAAAGTTGGCTCAGAAGAGAAATCAAACTTGCAAGTCCCTGTCATCCAAAAATTTTACCTGTGTTTTTTTTTTTTTTGGTCAGAATTTTATCTCTGTACTTGATGCAACAAGATGGTTCATTCTAGCTCTACCTACGGAGTAATATTTCATTATAGTTGATCTCACGTATTTGTGTCGTTAAACGAGAGAGAATCTGTTTTTGAGCTTTAGTAAAGCTTATCTGATTGTTCAATTGAACTTTTGAAAAGATGATAATGACTTTTACCCAAAAAAGAAAAAAAGAAAAGATGATAACGACTATTGGGGCTTGGAGTCATAAAATTCTGGACGGCAAAAGGTGTATAATCTATAATGTATCTGTTATGTATGGGGCAGATGGGCCTTTTCTTGCAGTTTAAAGCAGTCTTCATTGTTCACAGCTAACAATAAAGCTAAACAAGAAACAGAAGATTTCGCTTCTCTGACTTGCTAATTGTGCCATGACTTCAAGACGGAAAGACTACTGGAAAATTCCACCGGACATTGCCCAACTTAACCCATATGATGCCTCTTCCCCTTCTTGCCAGCTTGAACAACCAAAGGACAACGTTAAGCGCACGCTAGACGTTAGGTCTCTTGTCAAGAAACAATCGCTCAACCCACCAAAGTAACAAGATTGAGAATCAAAAAAGATCAAGGGTAATGAGATCGTTCTCTATGGTTCCATCATTCCGGCAAATCATTATGATCATCTTCCTCCCTTGCAAAAGGGTGTAGAAACCTATGGTAACGCAGGGAACTCTGACCCTCAAGCTCTCAAGTTTGATGTAGGAGCCATTGCCCACCCTAGTAGTTATAAGGAAACCCTCACCGGACAACTAAAGTCTCAGGCCACTACTGAAGCAAGCAAACATGATGAGGAATGGTGGGATAACTACCCAACAGCCCCCTTTCTTACCTCGAACGACCCTAAGGCTCCACAAGATTTTCATGCTGAAATCTCTTAGATTAATGGAGTCCGTTTTCCCAAGTTCTCCTCTAGAAGGGCACTGGAGAGGCTGTGCAAACCTTGGGGCCACTCACTATATGTTAAACTTCTAGATCAATATTTTGGTTGTCAAGCTTTGGAAAATAGATTGCAGACACTATGGGCCAAAACTAGCACTATTGAAGTGATAGATCAAAGTAATGAATTCTTTTTGGTTAAATTTTCTACAGGTGAGGATTATAACCTTGCCCTAATTGAAGGCCCCTGGATGATCAAAGACTCTTATCTCATACTCCATCCATGGGTTCTCAAGTTCAATCTTGCTACAACTCAAATTAATACGGTGGGAGTTTGGCTTCAAAAACCCTATTTTCCTTTTGAATACTGCAATGAGATAATACTTACATTCATAGGCAACACGATTGGATCTATTATTAAGGTAGACCTTAATACTTCTCTATACACTAGAGGAACTTATGCACATTTTTGTGTGTAGGTCAATCTCACCAAGCCCCTAGTCCCCTCCATAGAAGTTAATGGTGATACCTATCCCCTTAAGTATGAAAGTTTGTCCCTTCTATGCACAAGGTGCAGAAAGTATGGGCATCATGCAAAAAATTGCCAGTCGAGAGCTAAGGCTTCTCTGGTGAACCCTCAACCTACCACCTCTAGCAATGTCAACCCCACCGGTAGGGTTTTGCCTACTAATCAATCTTTTACCTAGAACGTAGTGCAAAAAAGGAGACATCAGAGAACTTTCAAGAACAAGGAAAGTAATCCTCAACCCAATGTTGTATCAAGATCAAGGTATGAGTCCTTAGCAAATTTGGGAGAGGATTTCAACAACTCTTTCTCTGAGTATGCTGACCTAATTCTTGACATTCTTACTGTCCCCCTTAAGTTTCCACTTCTTCGCCATTTCTACCACCTGAGGCATGATAACCTGATCCCATTACTACTAAAAAGCAAAAAAGTCATTATGTGCCTTCCCAAAGTCAACCATTCATTTCCTTTATTTCCCTTACCACCCGGTCTCGCCCTCCTTCACCTAGGCCCATTTTGTCTCCTATGCCCACTTCATCCTTACTCCATTCACACCACTACCATTCCACCCCTCTACCCCTAATTCCATTAAATCTCGAACCCACCTTAGCTCTGGCCCAAGTCTCTCCTTCCTTCCCTTCACCCTTCGGCCCACCCAACCCTTTATTTAAGCCTAATGATACAGTGGTCAATCTTGCTAATGATAACCCCATGTCATCTTTTATGCCCCTTACGATTTCAGGCTCTAAGGCCTTAGATGATGATGGTAATGAGATTGATAGGTTTGAAGACCCATTAAAAGTTATGGATCAAACTGTGGATCTCTCTTAATCCTATCCTATTTTATGGATAATATTCTTTCTTAGAATGTCAAGGGGGCATGCTCCTCAACTTTTCAAAAATATTGTTCTTGCTTGCTTAAAAGAAGCAAAGTGGATTTTATAGCTCTCATGGAAACTCATTGCTCTCACTTAAAGTCCTTTACTTTTCTATAGACCTTGGACTTCTCTAATTTATTTTTTAGCCCAAGTATAGGGAATTCTAGTGGAATAGCTATTGCATGGAATAACTCCAACATGCCCTTCACTGTATTAGAAAGTTCCCATTACTTCATCTATAGCCATGTGGGCAACCCCACCGCTCCAACCCTCCTAATCACAACAGTCTACAAAATCCCCCGCTCAAACTTACAGGAAGTCCTTTGGTTTGACCTCAAATGAATTGCTGCAATCTCTACTATCCCTTGGGCTATTATCAGTGATTTCAATGAAATTCTCTCTATGGTTGAAAAGGTAGGAGGAGCACCAATTAACATTCGCTGCTACAATAACTTTGCTAGTTGTATCTCAAGTTATGGGCTGACTAACTTAGGTTTCATTAGACCTTTATTCACATAGAAGAGCCCTATACTTTCTAAGTATAGTCATATCTATGAACGCTTAGATCATGATCTTGATAACTCTACCCTTCTTCAATCTTACATAATTGTCAAGTTGAAGTGCTCTCTCTAATTTCTTGCTTCGATCACAATCCTCTTTTGTTTAAGCTCAACTCATCTTCACATCTATTAAGAACCCACAAGCCTTTCCATTTTAAAGCTTGTTAGGTTTCTTAAGCAAATTTTATGTAAGTTCTCAAAGATTCTTGGAATTCATCCCTCCTTCTTAATGAGGCTTTGGATAGATTATGCATGTCCCTTACTTCTTGGAAGCATTCATCAGGATATCTTTCAAAAGAAAATAGTTCGTCTAGCCCATCTCAAAGGTATACAATCCTCTACTTCCTATCCAAATTTTGATTATCTAACTACTCTTAAAGCTATTTTTAGAAAGAACTAGACTTAATCCTAAACCATGAAAAGCTCTTTTGGTTTTAGCGTTCTTAAGCCCAATGGATTGAATAAGGTGATTGTAACACCCATTACTATCATCTAAAGGCACAAAGGTAGAAATTACATCTCAGCTCTCAAAGACTTGTTGGATTAATGGATATTAGATGAAGAAGCTCTACAATCTCATGTGCTAGATTTCTTTCAATCCTTATACTGTCATACCTCTTCTCATATACCACTAAGACCTACCCATTACTCTTTTCCAATCATCAACTCTAAAGTTATTGATTCCTTTCATCTAATGCCTACTGTTATGGAGATCAAGAATGTTATGTTTGCCAAGGGTAGTTTCAAAGCCCTGAGGCCAGATGGTTTTCCCCTTTCTTTTACAAGTCTTGTTGGCCCATTATTAGTCCCTCCTTAATTAAGTTAATACAAGATTTTTTTGTCTCCCCCTATTATGGCCTAGCTTAATCAGACATATATCGCACTTATCCCTAAATGCGACCAGCCTTCACTCATCTCCTAATTTCGATCAATATCCTTGTGTAATGTCTCTTACAAATGTTTGATGAAAATTCTAGCTACTAGAGTTAAGGAGGCATATAGACACCCTTATTTCTCCTTTTCAAACAAGGTTCATTCCTAGGAGTTGTATCTATGAGAATATTACCCTAGCTCAAGAAATTGATCACTTCATGAGGAAAGGCTTCAGTAGGAATGGATTTTGTGCAATTAAAATTGATCTAGAGAAAGGTTTTGACCGCCTTGACTGGACCTTCATAAGTGACACCCTTACTCATGCTAGTTTCAGTTATGCTTTTAGGAATTTTGTTATGTCATGCCTTACTACAAGCTCCTTCAATATCATATGGAATAGTATACCTACTGGTTCTTTTAAGCCATTGAGAGGTATTCGCCAAGGAGACCCTTTGTCTCCTTACCTTTTCGTCCTTTGCATGGATAAGCTCTTACATCTTATCATGAAGAATGTTGATTGTGGGGATTGGACTCTAATCAAGTTATCTCTTCATAGTCCTGGCATCTCTCATCTTATGCTTGCTGATGATCTTTTTCTCTTTAGTAAAACTAGTATTGAGCAAATCAATTGTATGAAGAATAGCCTCCAAACTTTCTATTTAACTTATGGTCAGAAGATTAGCTCTAAAAAATCTTCAATCTACTTCTCTAAAAATGTCTCAGGACATAGCAGAGCACTGCTTGCCTAACATTGAGGATTCAAAATTTCTACCAACTTAAGACCTACCTCAATTTTTCGCTTAATACTTGACCTTCCAAAATTGACACTTTTGATTACTTGATTAGCAAGGTTCACTCATACCTTGCCACTTAGAAATCTAATTGCCTCTATATGACTGGTCGAATTACTCTAGCTCGCTCTATCTTAAGTGTTATACCTCTATACCCTATGCAAGTGTCTTACATCCTGCATTTTGTCTGCCATAAGATTGAGCAGTTGTGACACAATTTTATTTGAGGTAGCTCTAATACCACCCGCAAACCACACTTAGTGAGCTAAAAGCAAATTTACAAACCCAAATCTCATGGTGGTCTTAATTTCAGAAGCCTTACTGTAATGAATGATGCATGTGGTGCTAAATTAACTTGGTTTATCTCCTCTAGGGAATTTGCCTTATGGTGTACTATTTTGAGGAGCAAATACCTTATCCCCATATCTCATTCACCACCCTTGGCTGCAAAACCACATGATTTGCCTCCACGGAAATTTATATGCCAATAATATCCTCTTGTGGTTGCTAGTTCTTGATGGTCAATTCATGATGGCCATAGTGCTAGACTCCTTGAAGATGCTTGGGTTAAAGATTCATTATTTCTTTCAAATCACTGTCTTCATCCCCTTCCCCATTAGGTTCAACATAGCACTATCACTCATTGGTGCACCTCGTTTAGGCACTAAGATACAGATCTTCTCCACTCTTGCTTTGCTGATCATTGGGTTAGGTGAATCGTTTTACTGCAACCACCTAGCTCTGGTTATGGGCTAGACACAAGATGCTAGTTAGGAAGTCCTTATGGTTTATTCACTATTTCCTCTGCCTATTCCCGAATTAAGGGACTCCCTCGGCCCCCTCCCGATCCCACCTAAAATCTTATGTGGAAGTAGAAGGGTGTTGAGCATATTCGTGTTTTCATGTGGCTTGCCCTTCAAGATAGGCTTCTTACTGATAAGTGAAGAAGTTTTTGAAACCTGGGTTGTCCTTTGTGCCCCCACTACCCCTCAAGCACAGAATCCATCCTTCACATACTTCAGGACTGCCCTCTTATTGCTCAACTTTGGTTTAGAATGATTAAATCACATTGGTGCAATCGTTTTTTCTCGTGATTTACATGATTGGTTCTCTATCAATCTCTTGAAAACGGCTAGTCAGTCGACTAATGTAACTTGGGCACAATTTTGGGGGTATACTATATGGTAGCTTTAGAAGGGGCATTGCTGTCATGTTTTTTACTCCAATTTTTCAATACCAAGACATTTGCTTAACCACCTTAGGAACAATGTTTCTTTGTATGTGGGCATACCTGACAACTCCCCTCTACTTGGGCAACATCTATGGCTTCACTCATTACGCTCCTAGCAACCCCCTCCAGTAGTTGGATCAAATTAAATTGTGATGGCTCAATCTCGCCGGATCTTTTTACAGCCGATTGTGGGGGTGTTTTTTGCAACCGTATAGGTCATTGGCTTGCAAGGTACCACCTCGACCCTGCCACTTCATCTATCATTTTGGCTAAAGCCCAAAGCATTCTTACAGGACTCAGCATTGCTTGAGACAAGGGCTATCGGAAATTCATTGTTGACTCCAAACATGTCTTAAACCTTATTCGCTGCAAGAAAATTACAACAATTGCTCCCATCGACTAGTATCTCAGAGTTCTGTGACCTCACTCACCGGTGCTAGGAACTCAAATTTTCTTTTGTTCTACGTGAAGCTAACAGGGTGGCAGATTCTCTTGCCTAACGTGGCCTTCTATGTAATGTCTTCTGATGATGTTGCTCCTCTTTTTTTGGGAGACTTTGTTCGTCAGGATATTGCTCCCAATTGATGTTAGTGGAGTTTCCTCCACCTCTCTCTTTCAAAAAAAAAAAACAATGAAGCTACACATATAAAAAATGTAAAATATAATTTCAATTTTGTTCACACAAGGATCAAAAAAATACAGAAAATGATCCCAAAAATATTCTCATTTTTTTTTTGCAATTTTTTTAATCGACTCATTATTAAATTTAACATTTATTAATGATACTAACATTATTGTACTGTTTTAAAAAATTGATGAGAACATTACATCAAAGACAACTTTAGAATCCCCATGGTCCTTAACCTATAATTTATTTTAACCTTGTAATTTATTCTATTACAACCCTTGGTCTCTACAATGTATACAAAGTTAAAACTACACAAAAAGAACTGTTAGTTCAAGTTGGGGAACGTCAAGAACTTTTATCATTATTTTTTATTTGTTCGTGCAGTTTGAGATGAAAACAGATTATGTTTTTCTCATGCCAATTCTCACTTGCTTGTCTCATAGATGTCATTTACAATAGGAAACATGAAGGATTCCATTGCCCTGTGCCAATACGAGTATCCATTCAACTATAAATATATGGGAAATAGAGAAAAAGCTTCATTTCAGATCTCTTGATCACCTGTGACTAAAGCTTCAAAAGAAATAAAATATTCTCATCTCTTCCGGTATTAGTTAACTTTGAATATATCTTGTCGATTTTCCTCATAATATTCACAGGGAAAGAAATTTTGGGAATTTCCAATGTCACAATAAGAAATTGACATCTTTAATAACCAACACACGACGACAAAAACTTTTGAATTGTAGAAGCCATATGCTGTAACTGTCAAGAATGAAAATGAAAAGAAAGCAAGACAAACGAAAACGAGGATAAGCTCTTTTTCAGGGTTCTGAAACCTTCTGTTTTCCTAACTATCAAAGAAAAGCCATCATCTATAGCCCCATAAGTGTCGTACCTTCTTCATTTTTTTTAAATTAAAAAAAAAAACACGTTTCCAAATCAATACACCCAGAACACCACCCACGATCCAAAGAATGCAATAGGAAAACAATCTGGCAACAACTTATCAAGGTGGCAACTTCCTTCAACCGAAGCTTCACATCTTCAGAGCAGAGACTGAGAAGTGAGAAATATCAATTTGGAGGTGGTTAAGGATTAACATCCCACAAAGCATGCCCAGGAATCAACCACGCAACCACAGCATAGACAGGCTTGAAGAATTGATTAAGGGAAGTATAGAATGACTCCCCTGTCTCAGAACATATTTACACGGAAAAACCATGGCAGAACAAAAGCAATTACCAGGCACGCCATCAAGAAGTTACAAAATGGCTGTCCACGCCAGCATCCGCAGCACATGCCAGATGAGGAGGTGCTCCGGTTGTCAATGAATGTTCTCTCATTCCACTCTTCCATAAACCCATGATCAGCAACACCCGAAACATTTTTGGCAGTTTCACCACATATTTCACACAATCTGTGATTATGAAAGGTAGTTCAGTTATTCATTTATAACAGACTTGTATGAGTAAGATGAATCATTTTTCCTGGCCAGCAAGACAAATAATTAAGTCACTAACAGAGAGAGTGGGCGGGGGGGTTCTCAGTTTCAATAAACCTAATAACTGCTCCGCAAATGACGTGGGAATTAGGCCAGACTTGCAAATTACAAAGAAGAATAAAATCTAAGCAGCATGCATAGGATCTAGCAAATATTGAGTGCCACATTAACTGATCAGCTCATTAAATTGTACAAATAAAATGCTCGATTCCTCTTTAAGCACATAACAATAACTAATTTTTTTAAAAAAAGGAAAGCATAAGATGTACAGATTGTGGAAATGTTATCCATGAAAAACCTGTCTCAACTGTCTTTACATAAGAAAATGAAACAAATCAGAAAACAGTTAACAGGACACTGACGAAGCACTAGACTGAGAGCTAACCCAAAGAACTTCTCAAAACATCCATTCAACTAAAGGTTAGGATGTCCTAGGATATATGGCAAAACATACTATGCATAAAGCTGGAAACTAACTAAAATATATCATTTAAGACTTTGCTCTGGTGGAATTTAAATTAGTACTAGACGAGAGATTCGTGAGCAACAAGAAACACAGAATTTTGATAGTGAAATGTGCCAAATTCAGACCTAACCCAAACTGACTTTCAATATATCACAAAAACAGCAGCCTTATCACAACCGTAACATTCAATATATCACAGTTGAAAAGAGATCAAACTTGCAATCATTTCTCATAGTCATCTGTCTTTTCCTTTGGTGATTTCACACTGCCTTTTAACTGTTTTAGTAAAAGGAAATATACGCCTATCATCTAATTGGGCAATTGAAGTATACTCCTTCCGTTCAAAAATGTAAAATATTTTTAAACGAAATTCACCCCTCACTAAAGTAGTTATTATCTTCAAACTAACCATATCTTTTCATATTTACACCTATTTAATATGATGTTTCACCCTAAAATAAATATAAAATGATTTATTTAGTAGGGGTACTTTTGAAAAAAAGGCAATAATGATACTTTGAAATGCTAAAAATGCCTAACATTTTTTAACATCCAATCCTTCAAAAAATTACTTACATTTGTGAACAAAGGGAGTATAGTTAATTGTCCATGACCCTTGGTAATGAAGAATAGGAGGACAATATTATGGGACATTGAGGAAAAGCTGTTCTAGGTGCAGGAAACTGAGCTAGAGATATTTTGTTTTGGTCTTTATCTAACTTCTATTAGTTTATATACTTCTAATATATTTTCTTTTCTTTTCTTAACATCCTGCAACCCTCCCCCACCCCCATCCCCCCAAATAAACAAAAAGAGAAAAGCTCAGCAGTAGCGTAAATTTCAGGCCTCTTGTAGATAAGTTTATTTTGTCAGTTTTCTTTCCCTATTCTACCCCATCTCTCTCTCGCTTTCCCTTCCTCCTTCTTGTCCCCCCTTTTCACCTATTCTTCTGTCATTTTGGCATTACAGCTTGGTTCCACTTGTTCCAGTCACGCATGCCTCCGTCACTGGAAGTCACCAATCTTGCCAGAAACAACATCTGTGAGCACTGAAAATCACACTTCTGGCCACAGGATCAACCAGTTGACACCACTATCAGAGCTGCACCACTGAACACACACCATCCAAGGAAGCCTGTTGTTGAAAGAGCCTTATAACTTATTGTGGAACCCTCCAACTGCCCATCCAATAAATTTGTAGAACAGTTGAAAGTAAATGTAGGCTGCAAAGTTTATACTAAACAACGGTCAAAAGTCAAACATCAAGATGAAGAATGTCACATTCAGACACAAACAACTAAACTACTAACTTGGCAGAGTTAGTTATTCGAAATGTATTGAAGAACCTGTAGTTGTTAGCCATTGTCCTACTTAATGATCCAAGATGGATTATTCCATTGATTCAATACTTCAAAACTACAGGCCGAGTTTTATTCAATCAGGAAAGAGTGACAGAGGATAGGAAGAGAATAAAGGGAAATGATGGGAAGTTATGGAAAAGTATTCTATGTAAAGAAGACGCCAGTATGAATCAGTTTCTATTCAGAAGAGGAGGAGGAGGAAATATTTTAGTTTTACGCATCTCTAACTTTCATTTGTTTGTTTATTTATTTATTTATTCATTCTCTTTTCATATGTTTTGGGCTCCTTATAAACAACAGCCCAACAGTAATCCAAGTTTCAAACCAGTTGGAGATATCAATTTATTTTGTCATTTTTCTCTCCACCTCCTCCCTCTCTTCCTTCTCATCTATTGTTCTGCACCACACAGATAATCTGAACAAATTTGTGATTTCTTCAATGCACCAATTGGCAGTTAGTTTGATATTTTTTACATATTTAGATTAGATTTCACCATGCATTAATTGTTAAACTGACACAATTTCTCTCGCTCTAATGCAAAATAGCTACAAGCTACGCTATCTGATTCACAAATGATGAGTAATTTAATTCATTCTCAAAGTCAAGGTAAATTGCAGGCAGATGCAATAGCCACTGTTTGTATGTTAAGGGAAGATAAAGAATATTGTGACCTCAGGAATTCCTAGTTCACGTTCACATTGCATCAAACGTCATATCTGCAAAACTCCAATGATTCTGATAACAAATGAAATCTATATACATACATACATACATACATACATATATATATAGAATTTGTTGAAAAAATTTAATCTTTCAACTTTTGAGGTAAATATTTTGTCTTCATTTTTGGTAAAGGTATAACAAACACACAGCTGAAATCACAAGTGCAAAATCCTAACGAAAAAAAATACAAAGGAAAATGCTATAATCTTTTGATTCCAAAACGTGTGCCAAAATGGATAGTTGAGGATGATTAAAGAAGTGAAGATATCAGGAAACCGTAATAAGAAAACAAATACTAGGAACATGGCCAATGCTGCAAAATTCAAGGTAAAACTCAAAATTAACATTACCGTTAGCCTAAAAACTACAACAAACTGGTATCTACCAAGAATGAGTTACCTGTTTCCTTTTAGCTTGAACCATGCCTCAGCACAATGACTGTGCGCAATACCCAGCTCATCTTTACACGCACAGCCAAGCTGAATTAAATCTCCAGTAGGGGTGCTGTTTGTAGGGCTAGCAGCTGTTGAATCTGATGGCTGCCCGGAAGACAGATGGCAAATCCTACAAATTCTTTCACCCTCCACATTCTCGCTAAACTCTCCGCAGCTACCAGACTTTATATTGATCACACATGAATTTTTATCCGCTTCAGACGGCCTTTTTGGTGATTTCATGGATGCCTTGATCTGCCCCGATTCATTGATCTTTGCCTCCGACTTCCTATTGTCTCCATTCACAAACTCGGTCTCAGCAGAATCTATTACAACCACGGTCTCAAGAACAGGGCTATTAAGGAAATTCCTTGAATTATAACTTGTTCCTTGATCAACGGCGTGGAATGTGTCGCTGTTATTTTGCTGATCACGCATGCCCTGATCCATAGCTTCTGCAGGCGCCTCCTTTAGTTCCTTATCATTACCCATGCCTTCTGAAGTCACATCTCCACTTTTGATAGCTCCACTCAAGCTGCCCCCAGCTACTGCATCAGCGGACCCTTCAACCGAATGACTAGTTTTCTTTCCCGTCCCTTCATCAACGAGATCCGATAACTCGTCGCTTTCTGGCTTTCTTGCCTGATCCATCAGGCCAATAACGATCTGACTGAAAATCTTCTTTTAAAATGTGAAAAGTGCTCTCAGCAGCACTTACATCCGCAAGTATTGAACCCAAAAAAACTTATCTCCTTAAATAATATCAAATGAACAATGTGATAGGACGAAAGGTGCAAATCCAAAGCTTTCAAAGACCCATTCCAAGCTTTCAAACATTCTCACAGACCCCCAATTTTCAAATACGAAAGTTCGGATTCCCATGGACAGGTAGGATCACCTCAATCGCACGGAAACAAGCCCCAATCAACCGCATAGAGAAGCATTTACTACAAATATTAAATTATGACGGAAAATGGAACATCGGGGTCGTGTTTTTCAATCCGACACAACAGCGTTAAACCACTGTAACATCAAGGCGTTTGTGGGAGAAGGAATGTTTAATATAAAAGAAAATAACAAAGGTTAGGTGAAGAAAGGAACCGAGAGGATGGTAAGAAAAGAAGATTGAGTGCAAATGAATCACTTGCAGTGAAATGGGTTCACGGACAGAGAGCAGAGAAAGCAAGGGATAAGAAATTGGGGGTTTGTCTTTATTGGCCAGTAATACCAAAAAAACCCTTGTAAAGTGACAGAAGCATAGGTTCAGATGCAAAGTGAACAACTGAATATTTATTCGCAGAAACTTAATTATCACGTTCATGAATCAAGATCCGCTAATTGAAAACAAAAATTACGAAATTTTTGTAGTGTTTATTTGCTTCATGTTGATGCCGTGACTTCCGTAACAAGCAGAGATGAGCAGCCAAGGAGGACTAGAATCCTTGATTTAGGCTATTCCTCGTAAGTCTCCATGGACTCTACCCATTAAAACTAAATTAAAAAAATATACTGTATTAATAATTCGGATTTCAATCCGATGATGATGACTTAAATATACTTATTCAAATATTTAATAAGTGGTCCCGTGTAATATCATAATAACGATTTGATTGAAATGAATAACTTGTCAGAAGTTTTATCATATAATACATAGAAAGATATTAAATCTCTTAAATTATATGATTGATTATTTAAGTTATAATAATAATTACATTTCTAATATTCATATGGAATCTAAATTATCCATGCTTGCTTGCTCAGTGTACAAACTTTGCTAAATACACACTACGCACATACACATTTATAACTCAACCGCAAAGGCCTTCTTTTACACAGTAAGTTTAAGATTTGGTAATTTTGTAATAATAAAAAATCAATATTGTTGTCATTCATAGATTCCAAAATTTTAAAAGGAAAAGAGTAGAAAAATCACCCTCAAATATATAAGTAATAGTAAAATTTTGTAAAATATGACAATTCTTTTCAAGTTCCTCAAAATTTTTCTGACATTAATATTTTTTGCCAAATGATTATAATGCTTCAATTTAAAAATAAAATAGAAATGGATAAATGATTAAAAATTTGCAGGGCACGAGTTGTCATTGGCTATCTCATTTTAATTATTATCAAAAGAAAATTAATAATCATTTAAATCAAAATAGTGACTAATATTTATAACATCAAAACTCCAATGATTAAAAAAATTGCAAAAAAAAAGTTGCAGTTACTTATCACATTTTAATTATTGCCTAGAAAGAAAATAATCATTAATTAAACTAAATAGTCATTGATATTTATAGCATTTAAACTTTATTGATTATAAATTTGCAGAGCAAAATTTATCATTTTTTATTTCATTTTAATCATTCTCAAAAGAAAAGTAGTCCTTACTTAAACTAAAATAATCACTAATATTTTAAAATAGAGTTATTATAATAATTTTACAAAAGACATCAATATTAAAAAAGTTTTAAAAAATTTGAGAAGAATTATCACCCTTCACAAAACCTCATTCTCACTATATATTTCAGGAAGATTTTTATGTCATTTTCCCAATTTAAAAATATGAGGTAAAAAAAAAAAATCAGAACTCCGCATCAAGCAATTTGATTACGGGTATGAAAAAGACTGATGGGCTTTAATGTCTTTTTGATGTTATTGCTTGCTATAAATGAATACTGTATATAAAACTATTAATTAATTATTAACAGTTAAGTAATTGATGTGATGTAAATAGAAAGATTAACTGGATCATTGCATTTAATATGATAGGCAAATTGATATTCCTTCACTTGGAACCCTATCCTCGTCTACGTCATTTTCATACTGTATCTAAATTCTTTGTAAACCAACTGGGAAAGTGTCAAATAAGATTAAAAACAAATGAAATTTGTATTTGCCATATATATATATATATATATATAAGTTGGAATTTGTCAATGTGTGGCTCAAACTAAGATAAGAACGATAATTTTTTTAGAAAGTCCACCCAAGAAAAACGATGAATTATTCAATCGAGAATGTTTACCATTTCATTTGTCATATTTTTTTAAAAAAAAAAAGTAAATCATCCACTATCCTCTGTTCAAATCGAAACTACATTGTGCATAAAAAAAAAAATCTTGAGCTCAGCAAACCGTGTGACAATGATGAATCATCAATAATAAATCAAAACTATACTAAAAATAAAAAAAATTCCAACGTCCAACACCTTGGTCCTAAACATGAGAGATAGATAAGTAATTTACAGAGATTAAGAAAATTAGTTAAGTTAATTATAATTAAAAATTATTATTGGCTTTTTTAAAATTACACTGTTTAATAATTTATATAGAAAACAACCCCTATTAATTGCATCTATTAACGTGAACAATGAATGTGAATAATTTCAAAAAAAAAAAAAAACTTCAAACGTTAAAAATAAAGACAAAATTGAGAGGTGACATGTCTGTGCCTTGCGGGGAGAGAAAAGCGTAAGAAAGGAAAAAGTGTGAGGTCAAAGTGAGGAGAAAATGGCAGAGAAAAAATTATTAAAAAAAATAATATGTGAGACTTATAAAATTTTACGGAAAAATTTTGAAAAAAAAATTAATACTTGAATCTTTACACTTCTTGCCTGTTGCTTTCTTCCATTTTCATCTTAATTTTCCTTTCACTTTAAAATTTAAATTATTTATTTAATGATTTAAGAAATAAAAATTAAAAGTAGACAAAATAATTTTTTTTTTGCCAGAGGATAGAAGAATTTACAATTATATTTAAATTTAATCAGTAATATATAATAAAAATTATACAAATAATAAGTTAAAATATTAAATTTTATTATATGGAAATATTTTTCTGTAAACAAAAAGGTTATGATTATCTTATGAAATTAATAATTTTTTCTACTTTTCATTTTATATGGCTTAGCCAAGCATAGGGAGAAAATTACATCTCTCAACTTCTCTTTTCTCTCCTCATATTTTCTCTTCTCCTTGTTCTCCTTCATAAGCCAAGCACATTGATAAAAATAAACTCAGCTTGCTGTTACATTTTAAATCAAGAGAATATATTTTATGATTAAAGTAACAACGAAGATTACAAGATGCTTAATAAGATAATAAGAGTGAGAATCAACCAAGAACATATTTTACTTGAAGTTGTTATTTCTTGTGAATTGAAGAGAAGAATCAAATGCTAAAAAAATCCGTCGAAGCAAACAAACTAAATTAAGAATATTTATGTCAAGTATATTTATTTATTAAGAATATACTAATTATACAATATACATTTGGAAATATTTCATATTTTAACACTCAAACAATTAACAAAGCTCTTTTTGGTGGTATAAAGCAGTTGACCTATTTAACAACTTCTGCTGACCAATACAAGAATGTAAAGACAAAATCTGGTTTTCCTTCAGTTGAGATAACATGGCATTGTTTTTTTAAACTCTTTCCCAAGAAACAAATCTGTGATCATTATTTAATAAGGTCCTGCTGACTTCAGTTTGGATGTAGCACTATAGTTCAGAGTAATCACATGGGGCCGTTGATTGAGGGTATGCTAGTGCAGCAACCAGTGTTTTAAGATCCGGAAGCGTATGGATTGTTGAATCATCACCCGGATATAAAAGTGTCTTAATTTGACATGTTAAGATCTTAAAATTAATGTTTTTATAACTTAACTAGATATTGAACCAGAAAGGTGAGCAGCTCATAATTCGTGTGGTCTAATAATCAAACCGATAATATAATAATTAAATTAAAAAAATTATATATGCATATAATAATCAAAATATAAGAAATAAATATAAAATTGTTACTTAACTTTAAAATAAAACTAAATATTTTAAGTTTATAATGACTTAATAAGCCACATAATATAACATAACATCAATTGATTAAAAAAATTAATCATTTTCTTAAAAAAATTGATAAAAAAATACAAAAGAAAATGAAAAAGGGTATTTTTGAATAGTTGGTTTTTAAAAACTGGATCCAGTTCCTAGTCCGATCGCCAGTCCAAAGCAACTTAATTTGACGCAACTCTCCAAACGATTTTTTCCATTTGACTAAGCCGTTAGCCTGACCGATCAATAGTCTGACCATCCGTTTTAGTCCGTTTAATCATTACCTAAAATGATTAGATTATATTGAACTGTTTTTTCTTTTTCTTTTTTTTTTTACTTTTATTTTAGTCATGAGAATTTTTATTCCATTTAGAGAGATTAATGTCAACTTCCTTCCAAATTGTCATAGTAAAATTTTGAATATATTGATTTGTTTATTGACATTGTAAGAATAAAACTGTAGAAAAATATGAAAACTCATTTATTGTAAGAAAACAAATAAAATAAATAAATAATATACATGTGATAAAAGTGAAGAAATTAAAACTTTAAACTTTGAATGACATTTTTTATATCTTTATTGTTTTATATATATATATATCTGTATGATTGTATATAAATATTATTTTTATTTAATTATTATATTATCAATTTAACTATTAGTTTAATCGATTGAATTACGAGAACATAACCTGCTAATATTTTCGCTTTATCATCTCGTTTGGCTCTTAAGACATTGATTGTGACAGTTTGAAAGCAATTTTTTTTTTCGCATACAATTTTTAATGTAAGTTATGCATTACCATCCATCATGTTCATGTCGACGAAGGGCTTCCCTTTCAGGTTTTAGCTTTCAGATTCAATGAGTAGACAAAGGGATTGTTCAACACGCATGGACCAAAATGAAGGGGCCTACAGTGATTAAGAAAAATAAAGAACAAAACAAAGGATGAATGAACAAGTGGGCGTATCGCTAAAGCTAACACATTTCGCTGCTTCCAATCGTTGAATGAGATCGAAAAGCCATTGGATAGAGATTTTGGAAGTTGACCCAAGTGCCTGAAGCCATAAGCTTTTCTTGCGGTCTCTGGAATTTGCATTCCGCACAATTTGTCGACCTCAGACGAAGAGAATAATAGAAATCACTCGTTGACATTTCTGATCTCTCAAGGAGCAGGACAATTTAATGGACATCTCCTGTTGTTTGTGGTCATATTAGTGAATCGTTTCTTTATCATCAGTCTCAAGTTTACATGGATGTCAGGATCCGTAATATCAGCATATCTCAATAAAAACACTACTGTTATAAATACAAGTGCAACGGAACACAAGAAAATCTAATGGTGATCTACTTCTTGTGTTTGTGGTCTTATTAGTAAAACGTTTCTTTATCACCAATCTCAAATTTAATTGGAACATAGAAATAAGCCTCTGCCACTTTTCCAATAATGAAACTTGTGTCCTTCTCATACCACGTCCAGAAATGGAAGAATGATATATATGTTTCAAAAGGACTAATTAATTTAAATTAAGTTCCAATCAATTTTAAAATACCAAACTACAAGAATTTACCAATTCAAAAATTAATTTTACAATTTTATTGTGATGAATTTACAACTTGTATTCTAAATTTTAACATGATTGAAGAATAAATAAATTTATTTTCCTGCTAAAATTTAAAACATAAAATGCAAATTCATCGCAACAAAGTTATAAAATTAAAAGTGAAACTTAAAAATCCCTAAAGTTTTTTTTTTTTTTGGGTTCATATATAAGGCTAGCATAAAGCTAGAAATGTTCAAACACACAAAAGCTTGGCAATCAGATGAGTCTTACCCCACTCTCATCAGCCAAAAGTAAGCATTTACATCCAAAGGGAGGTACATTAAGCAAAGAAAAGTTATTGGGACAATCATGGGCCATTTTGGTTAAGAAATCTGCACACGAGTTGGCATCACTGGGAGTATATAAAATTCTATAATTATCATGAGAGCATATGGTTCCTGTATTTCATAGACAGCTTCAGCAAAGGGATGATCAGTGTTAACACCCCTATAAATTAGATTAATTGCCTCCAAGGAGCCAGAATATATCACAGCTTTCTCAATATTAAGACTGGAACAAAACCTCAATTCATACTTAATAGCAAATCCCTAAAGTTATATTTGGTTGGGAGGAAGGGGAGGGGGAATTTTTACCTCCCCCCCCCCCCAAAAAAAAAAATTGGGGGGATCCATCCCTCCGCTCCCCTCCCCCTCCCCCTCCCCCCACCTCCCTTCCCTTCCATCTCCTCCCCTCCTTTTCCCTCCTCTCAAACCAAATGCAGTCTAAAGTTTGACACTTTAAAATTAGTTGGAACTTAATTTGAATTAATTAGTCCTCCTCTTGAGACCTATCTGCCATTCTCCCTCTAGAAATTATATGTTAATGTTCCCAAACATTCAAGAATACCAAGACATATCACATGATCAAGTTATTAGGTAGGGACAGACGGTACTTCATAGTTATATACAAATTACATGCTTGGTCACGTCTATTTGAAATGGGTTAAACTTCAGACGCAGTGTCAAGTAGGTTATGTTTGTTTGTTGTTTGGGTCAAAATTAGATAAGGTTTGGAACGTGGGGACAGGGGAAATAAATCAAAGAGACTCCAATGAGTATCTTCTGTGATCTTGTAAAAGGGCTAATGCAGCATTTGCATTTCCATGCTTTTGATCAGTGGTCCTGATTCGTAGTCACCTTTTCAATCCCATAATGCCTAGGCATGCTATTAATGCCATGACCAAATTCTTCATGCAAGACATTGCTTGTTAGGAGTAGACAAAGGAACAGGCCACATTGTGCTGGTCACCTAGGTCCAGAAAGTTCAATGGCTTCAATAATAAAAGAAGGTTCATCATGCCCATCACTATAATTTCTGGAGAAACTGCAATTCCTTTCATCATAAATGGCTCCTCCATGTGACTCCTCCTCCGGTTGGCCCTGTCCGACTAGGCCTTCCAGTATCCTCAAGACTGCTGACATCTTTGGCCGGAGGCTGGGATGTGATTGAGTGCATTGTAAAGACAGCTTCACTGCTTTTTCCAACTCTATTGGATCAAAACGTCCCCTCAGATTCCTATCAACTAACACTTCCAGTCGCTTCTCCTCAAATAAGGTTTTAACCTGTGAAAGTTCAAGTAGTTGCTCAAAAACTCGGCCAATGTGATGAAAGAATTAGGATGGGAAATAACTTGTTAAAACTTAGCTTACAGACAAAACTAAGATACTAAAAAACAAATCATTCATCAAACCGGTCAAAGCATTGGTTCAAGAATTAATGATCAAAACTATAGTCAAACCAATCAAATTGATCATGAAAAAAGTATTTCATTAAACCAGTCAAGACACTGGTTCAATGGTTAACTGGTTCAACTTGCTGGATTGACCTAGGTTTCAATAATATGGACAAAACTGAAGCAAATTACCCAATCAAGAATCATTCCCTTCTGGATCTGACCATTTCCAGCATCCAAAGCCTTCTGCCCTGTGATGAGCTCCAAAAGCAATATGCCAAATCCAAAAACATCAGTTTTCTCAGAAGACTGCCCAGTGGAGAGATACTCGGGGGCAATGTGCCCTACCGTGCCTCGTACTGCAGTAGTGACATGCGAATCCCTTTGATCCAAGAGCTTAGCAAGACCAAAATCCCCCACCACAGCTTCAAAACTTTCATCTAGCAAAATGTTTGCAGCCTTAACGTCCCTGTGGATAATTTTTGGGCTACACTGCTCATGTAAATATAGAAGCCCACGAGCTGCCCCAAGAGCAATACGCATTCGCCTATTCCAATCCAATGATGGCTTTTCACGGCAAGTGTCTGCAAAATAGGTTGCAGACAACTGGGAAAAAAATCAAATAAAATAAACAAAAACACACAGAGAAAGAACAAAACTGTACAATCTGTTCAAACTTTGATTTCACATATGGCGATTACAAGTGTGTTCAATATTTAACCTACATGCACGCTGGAGGTTTAAACAGGAAGATCTTCTATACGCATGTTCCCAGATAAACAATAAAACAATCATTTAAGATCATGATATATCACCAGTTATATTTTGGAAAGAAATGATTTTTGCCTCTAATTACCAACTTCTTTATCAAAATACACATGAAAATCTGTCTCCTAATTTCACCATGAAATCAGATTAGTTAAATTTCATTAGTTTGAAACTTAAAGCTTTCTTATCCTTCAAACTACAAGATGGCAGGTACCTACTCTGACAGTTAATTTTTATACAACAAAGTATAGACATGAATCAACATGAAACAAACCTCTCAAGCGATCAGCAACACTGCCATTAGGCATGTATGGGTAAACAAGCAGCCTCTCATCAGATGTCATACAAAATCCATAGAGACGCAAGAGATTCCGATGCACTGCCAAGCCAATCATCTCAACTTCAGTTTGAAACTGCACTTCTCCAGTGTAATTGGGATCTTTCAGCCTCTTCACTGCCACCGTCATTTTATTTGGAAGACATCCTTTGTAGACAACACCAAATCCACCTTGACCTAGGATATTTTTTGGACTGAAATTACTAGTAGCAGATTGCAATTCACGGAAGGAGAACCTCCTCAAATGACCAATGTCAAATTCATAATCTTCCTTTACTGCATATTTCAATCATTACATTTGGTCAAGAGATGAGCAAAGTTAGATAAAAAAATAACCATAAGTGCATTTGAGGAAGTACCATAGGAGGCATACAGGATGCGTGATCTGTACCAATGCACGCAGCAGAGAAGCAGCATTACTGAAATTAAAAATGTACAGCTAATGCCAATAGCAACAGATAGCACCCGATGGTGATGATTACCAGCTTCTAGTGAAGAACCAGTTTCTGCAATTTAACTGTCATTTATATGTATTCCACTTAACCCATCGTTTGAATTTGACTTGACGCAGGTTAAATATATATTACCATTTAGTGGATTTGAACCGCCCATACAAATTTGTGGTGATGAAGATGCACAAAGGAAGTTGTTTCCTGAAATACTATGTTTAAACAAGCATAACATCAAATAATGTAAGAAACAAGGGAGGTGCATGTAACAAAAGGTTAAAACAATTATCTATGATTTATTTCCACATGAAAATAAATATCAATCCTCTCAAGGCTCTATGTTTTTTTCCATGGAACTCAAGGCCCCACCCTTGATCTTAGTATTCATATTTAATAAATTAGTGCAATACCAGCATAAAATTGCAAAACTATTTAGCAGTTAACATTTTCTACAGGTTTCTCGGATTCCCTAACAAGGGATGTTATAGTCATTGGCTTCTAGTCTTTGCCATGGGCTAGGTTGCATATATTAGTCAGCTTTACTTGTTCCAATTCAGTTTAGTGCTTCCAATCTCAGATCTTGCTAACAGTGACAGAGAATTGATTTCCAAAAGCATTAACAGATGTCTAGCTAAATTTAATTAATGCATGCAAACTAATTAGGACTTGTGCCTTGTGAGTATAATGAGATAAGAGTAACCGAACTTATCCTGTTAAAAAGAAAAAATGAAAAATTTTCTCACCTGTAACCTTTTGCTAAAATTTTTGGAGTGGGACCACTGAGATTATTGAATGACAAGTCCCTAGAAAGTATACCTCTCTTAGCAATCTTACTGAGAGAATCAAAGAGGGAAAATATAACGCAAATTTAGAAGAGCAATTACAAGAATGAAAGGCCTGTGAGATTTGCAACGAGTTGAGGAATCTGCCCATATAGTTTATTTCTACTAAGCCGCCTGAAAAACTTAGCATGAATGATTAGGAGGCACACGGTTAGAGTAAGAATAAGGAATGAAGTAAATAGGTACTAAGAATATTATTATCCTATCTATATATGTCGAACAACACTCACAAGTAACTAAGACGAGTCAAAAAGCCCAGAGAACTAGGGATTTCACCAACAAACTGGTTACCAGAAAGGTCAAGAGTCTGAAGCTCCAAAAGCTTTCCTATCTCAGCAGGCACAGATCCAGATAATTGATTGTTCTGCAACAACCTAAAACAGTAAATTGGGGGAGCTAAATCAGTGATTAATGAAGGCTCATTGTTCTTCATCTATATTTTTCTATTCCTTCATTACAAGGTGACAAACACAACTTAAGCTTAACATGACAATCTTAGGGAGAAATAAACCAAGGAAACAAGAGGCACAGCCCACATTGAAATTTAAAGATGGTTAGTAGTAAAAAAGCTCATAAACTAGGCTTTTTCAATATATAGTATTTCAAACTTATTTCAATTTCTAACAGCCCAAAAAGCCATTAGAAGGGAAAGCAAGAAACAAATTTTAATTCCAGAAAAGCACACGATGTCCTGATATCCCATGCAGGGGTTACCCATAGCTCAACTTAGAAAACGCCAAATCTAACATACTGATCATCTAATTAACTAGCCATACCCATGGCCAGGTACTGATTACTGAAGGCTAAGCCACTGGACCACCACTACCAGCCTACTGGCTCAGTAGCATCACTGCCTCAATGCACACCCCTCCCACAAAAAATAGAAAGTGACAACTGTCCTTGAAGTCCCATGGTTATCAGATAGGTTGAAATTGATCAATGGAGTAATCAAATAGCACATTTTTCAACTGATACTAATCATTCATAGATATCGTAATTAAAACAGGCACGTGATTTTTTCACATTTGAAAACAGTAAGTATAGACCATAAGACAAGGAAAGTCACTTACAGTGTTCGGAGGCGGCTCAAATTTCCAATTCCGGGAGAGAGCGTTCCAGATAAACCCATACTGGCCATGTCCCTGACAAATGGCCAATTGCCGCGGGTAACACATAAGAAAAAACATCAATTTATGTTGAAGAAGAGATGCCAGTAATTAACAAGTCCAATAAAAAAGTGATAGTAGAAAGGGTACATAAAAAATTTAAACTCTACTCATACTAACATTAAGGAGTAGAAATTGTAAACACTTACAGCGAAATAACATTGTTCTCAGCAGAGCAACCGACCATGTTCCAAGTACAAGGATCAACCGAATTGATATCCCAACCATCCATAACACGCAATTCGTCTTTCATTTTATTCTTCATTGACATCAAAGCAGCAACTGAAAAATGCAAAGTTGAACCAAGTTACAAATAAACCAATACTTGTCATCAAACTATAGGCTGATAATGAGAAGGCTGGGAAAGAAAGAAAGAAAGAAAGAAAAGTAAGAAATAGGTTAGACTTGGGCAGTAAAACACCAGACCTTCATAGTTCACACCCTTTGGTGAAAGAAGACTGTCAGTGTCACCAGCAGCAGCCAACCATTTCCACAGAAAGAAGACGAAACAAGCAACTCTTTTCACATCTTCCATTAAACAAGAAATCAAATCAAGCCGAGGCCCGAAAAGGTCTGAAACTTTTTACTGGGATCTTCACTGCTGAGCTTCTAGTTACGTTGCCGTGCTTAGCGTCAAAAAGCAACCAACCCCTTTTGGAATTTCTTGTGCTGCCTCGAGAGAAATGAAGTTGGAAACAACTAAGAAAATTAGTATTAAAATCGAATCAAAGATCGTAAGACCAGGTAGACAGCTCGTGATTTAAGAACGTGGCAGACACTGTCGCTTGGTCTCTGGGTTAAACAACAGTGCTAAGTCCCCAACAGCCATGATTATGTGTGGTTAGTTACAAGTTTTCTGGTCTGGACGAGTAGTGGTTGAACCCGTTACATCCGTCCGATAATCGTGTTTGAGTCATAATTACCGCTTGACGGTGGAGATTCAGAGGTCGTTAACGGGCCTAAGTAGTGTTGGATTTTTACGAAAGTTAATAATTATTGGAGATTTTAGACTGCGTCTGGGAATGCTCGCTCATGGCGCGAAAATTCGAGTTACTGTCACTTGGACGCCTCGGAGCCCAAGATGGCTGCCTTTGAACGACGTCGTCTATTTGACTACGTGGCAAATTAGGATATTTGTCTATACTGTCTTTTTTTTTTTAATTTTTTATCATATTGTTTTTATTTAAATATAAGTTATAATAACACCACGGGATTTTAAAATTCAGTCATCCCAATAAATTTATAATTTAAATTTTTACATTTATAAAATCAAGCATATAATACCTTAGGAGAGAAAATAATGAATGAAAATGAAACATAACTCTAATTCAAAGGGACATTCTTTGATATCTTTCTTCTGACCAACTACATTATTAGATATCATACCATTACTCTGCTAAGATTTAAATACAAGATATGGTATTTTGTAAAATTATGTTTTAATATGAGGCAGTTGGGATGGTTATAAAAACAATTAATAATTTTTTTGAATGTCCTTAAAAATAAATCAAAATTACTTCTCCCTTACTTAACAAATAATTAATTATCAGTGGTAGTACTAAAGAAGGATAAGATTGACAAAAATACAAGAACTTGAAATTCTAACAAGTAGATAAGTATTTTCCTTGATCGACGTGTTTTAATTAGAAATGCCTCATATTTAAAACACGGGTAGCATTCACGTAAACATGAACAACTTAGTAACTCACTGTATTTGACGTCGGCCTACGAGGAAAAATAGTGAGCAGTCAAGCAACACAAACGCCTAACATAACCATAACAATAGTTGGCAACGGCATAAATATAAGGAGAATAAAGAGCAGCATTAAAGGAAAAACAGATAGCATTACAATTCACAAGGAACATGTTTGCATGATTACGAGTCAGCCACATATTAACATTAAGATCCTTTACATCTGGGACCCTCCTTCCAGCTAAGGGTTCAAGTTTCCCCGGACACAAGGCTATTTGACCAATTCGGCGCCAACCAACCATACTATGAGACGTAGACGTATACAAAGAAACAACAAAGGAAGGTAAAGGTAGGGCTACACGCCTGAGGAAATACAGATCCACCACGACCAAATAAGGATTCAAAAGCTATATGTAGACTGATGGATCAATTGCAGCCGCACAGCAACCAGGTCTTGAGTGGTTAGGCAGGCCGCGGTATATGGTAATTTAGACAAAAAGATGGTGCTCCTGTTGACTTCAACAACTAGCTTAGACTCTGCCCAAAACTTATCATCATGTTCCTGTAAGATGGATGAATTGTTGCCCTATTTGCCGCTTCACGTGGTCTGGTATTAACTTATTAACAAGTTCTGGAGACGCTCCTGATAACTGTAAACACGCAAAGTATGTGTGTGATTATCAAAGATCCACTCCATTACAGTAAGCAGCTGAATTATTAGTCACAAGTAGTGTATAGTTATCCCAATCAAGCTAGCGCGCGCGCGCGCGCGCGTGGTCATCCCATTGCAAAACCAAGTGAGTCTTCTATAGACAGACTAACCCCCCCAAGGGGGGGGTGTTGTACTGAGGAATACATAAAAGTCAGATCACCAGACAGTTCTGACAATATGATTAGCCTGTTGAATAAATCTTCGTTCAGACTTGTCAAGGATTTCAGAGCTTCATTTTTTTTTTTGGCAAAATAATCAATATCTTTGCATTGCTTTAATCCATGGCCTTGAAACTACTAGGGGTAGCATTTTACAAGATAAATGTTGAGATGAAGAGGGGAAAAATAAGGAAGCTTACTTCCTGTCCGAAGTTGAATAATAATGGAAAGGGACGACCATTTGGCAGGCGGGCATTGGGTTCTCGAAGTTCATCAAAGAAAGGATGCGCACATGCTTCTAGCTGTAAAAGAAAAATAAATTCTTCACAAACTGTAATGCTGTCTGTTCTTTTGAATAGATAGTAACATTAATTGATCAGATTGATAACAAATAAGAGAGTGGTGTATGGGGGGTAGAACTATGACATATCTCAATAGGAGTGTTCACACTCACCGCAGTGCACCGAAGACTTGGAGAGTATTGAAGAAGCCGGGAAACAAGATCAATTGCTTCTGGAGGCATCCTTTTGTGAAATATCTACACAGATATGAACCATTAGAATATATAGGAATCTTCTATACCTACATAATTATCATTTTAAAATGCAAACCTTATGCCATGGGCGTGCTTTTAGCTGCGGGAACCTAAAATCATTGTAATTGGGATTCATACAACGGACTTCCTCACGGGTGGGTGTTCCAAGAACCTGCAATATAATACAGAATTGAACAACGCTCACTTATTGAAACAAAAATAGCATGAATCTAGAAAGCTGAAATGTTCTAGCATTAATTTCACCTTTATAATCTCCACAAGCTGGTCTACTGCGGTTCCACCAGGAAACAATGGCTACAAAAATTCCACTTTGACATCAGGCGATATGTAGAGACAAATAATAAATAATCCACAACAATTTTGCAATACATTGACTGAATTCGTGTAATTATAATCAAAAGAAAGCAATGAAACAGACCTGGCCTAAGAGTAGTTCAGCTAGGACACAGCCAGCCGACCAGATGTCAATTGAGGTAGTATACTCTGTGGCACCAAATATAAGTTCCGGAGCTCGATAGAAGCGTGAACATATGTATGATATATTAGTTTCCCCTCTGACCTGATCAGACAAGAATCCAAGGTAACTAGAGGAACATCTCAACGAAAAAATGGAGAAACAAATATCATTAGGGGAAATAATTATATTAAATTTTTGCCCGCTTGGTTGGGGTGAAAAATGAGTCAGAATGGTGTAAGAAAGATGAGAGATGCAACTATACATATATTATTTAAAAAGATTCAAAGTACTTTGATTAATTATAGAATGAAGTCAACATACTAGCACTTTGGCACTTCCAAAATCACATAGCTTAACCTGATGTGTATAAGGATCAACCTGTAGAATACACAGAATGACATTAGAGCCCAAAGAAAAACTAAACTCAATGTTTATTCAGTAAGCGTATTTAAGCGAACCAGTATATTTTGAGGCTTCAAATCTCTGTGGCAAACTCCTGGAACAGTGTGGATATAAGCCAAACCCCTGAAAATCTGTAATCTCAAAGCAGATTTTGATCAGGAAGTGTGAAAATCAGAGAAGTTTTCCAATAATCAGAAGATTTGAAGCATACCTGGTACATATAAAGTTTTACATGAATAAGTGGCATTCTCTGATTAGCATTGGTGTAATGCATTATGACCTGATACAGGCTCTGGGGAACATATTCCATCACCAGATTCAGAAATAGCTCATTTGTGCTTGTAGTGGAAAAGAAACAATGCTTCAAGGAGATCACATTTGGATGGTCCATCACCCTCATTAACTGTAGTTCACGATTTTTGTATCTTCTGTCTTGCAAAACCTTCTTAATGGCCACAGCCTCACCAGTTTCTAGGCATTTTGCCTACAGGGAAAATATCAGCAAGAGGCAAAGAAGGTCTAAACTGCAACTGCTATGAATTATAGTAACAGAATACCTGGAAAACAATCCCAAATGATCCATTTCCCACAACACGTTCTGCCATGTAACTAATGGTCTACAGAAAAAAAATCGCAGCAAAACCATTATAACTTTCGATCCAAGATTTAGCAAGAGTCACAAGTATAATCATCTATTTCCAAAAAAAAAAACACGCAAATATGCATGTTCCAGTTCTAACCAGTAGTTGAGAAAACATCTAAAATAAATTAGTCACAATGAGAGTACCTGTTTCGGCTCCCCATTTTTGCCTCCAATTGTTGTAGATATGATGTGACCGGTGAGTGACTCATTCCCGTTGACAGAGGCAGACATCTCCTGCCAAAGTGTCACATTTAGAACACGCCATAAGGAATACTAGGAAAATACTAGTAGAAAGCTGATGATAATATAAAACTACTATGGAAAAATTAAGCTAGTAAATGGTCAGAAACGATAACTTAGTGACACCAACTTCAAATAACAATCTTAGAGTAAACACCGGGCAAGAATTATAGGAACACAACGTGTTGAACTTGAGAACAAATCTTGACATACACAACAACTATTGGCAAAGTATAATTAACTGAAGACAGTAAAATGGTGGCTACAACAAAAGCAGGCACGATCCGGTAAAAGCTATTAAAAGCCCATAACGAATTGAGCATCATTTAACAACGCCGAATAAATTAAACCCCAATTCAACATCAGTATGAAGTAATAGAAGCATCAGCAGCAAACAAGAAAGCATAACAGAACCCAGTAGAAAGCTTCTGCGGAGGAAAAAACTAGACGTGGAGATCTCGAAACAACATGGAAAACCACAGATCAACGAGAAACTGGACTTATTCCTCTAAGTCATACTTCCTTTAAGCTCAAAAGCCAAATATGTGAACAGGGCAGCAGAATTCCCAACAACCCACGCAAAAAAACAAAAGCCCTAAATCTCGCCTTTGCTGTGCGTAAGAAGAAAACGATGAAACAAAGAATAAACCACCAAAAAAAAATCCTAATTCAGTACACAATCCAGATTCATCCTCCTAAGCAATCAAAAGACAAGACTTTCCACTTGGTTTTCTCACGGGCACTCAAGGTTTCTCAGCAAACAAACCAACCATCAGTATTAGAAGAAGGTCAAAAGAATCCGGAAGAGTACCTTATCGTCGGCCATGGAGGAGGGAAGAGGGAAAGAGGAATCTAAGGAAGGAAGAAGGAGAAGATCATGGTGTGAAAGAGGACCAGGAAATGGAGGACCCAGCAAGAGAAGACAAGTCCATGTGACTCCAGCTCTCCTTTTTCCTTTCCGTTTTGATGTTTAATTTTATTAAAACATATTTTCTTTCTTTTACGGCATTTGAGTTCTGGTCTTCTTCCCAATCATGCCCGAGCCTGAGACCCCTTTTACCACTGCTTTACATTGTCGGAAAGAGCCTCCACTGTTTCCCACAATTACGCCGAATACCATGCTGCCTTGGAACCAGATACCTAACTTACCCACAGGTAAACCCACATTCCGTTCCGTTGAGTCACTTTTGGAAAGTGGAAACACATTTACTCATTACTCCAATATAAAAAATCTTTATTACTACACTGCAACTCTACGAGAGAAATCTTTATTATATAATATTATGATTTTTTATTGATAGAAATATCATTTTATATTCATTAATTGATTTTTATTTTTTTTATCAATAGAAGTTTTCCATTAATAAAAACAACCTGTTAATTTATTTATAAATTAGCTCATTTTTTCAAGTTTTTATTCAAGTTACGTAATTATGTAATATTTTATTCTAAAATGTTCGCATGTTTTTATAAAAATATATTATACTTTATTTAAAAAAAAGAAAAGAAAAACACTTGAGTCCATTTGATTATTTTTCAATCAAATGTCAACACTTGATTTTTTTTTTTTCCATGTCGTCATCTAGTTAAATATAATAGTAGTCTATAATTTTACTTATGATAAAGTTCAAGTGCAATAGATATAAACAAATTGACTTAAGGTTTGTCCTTATTTTTCGTATATAAAGGTAATTATATTAAAGATAAAACGACAATATATAAAACCCAATTAATTTAATAAAATGAATTAAATGGGCCTTGGTAGGCACAGGTTCGTCCTTGTTAGAGTATACTCATAAAATTGACTTGTTGAGTGCATTTTCTCCATTAAAATTGTAACCATGCTCCATTTCAAAAAAAAAAAAGCGTGATTCAAATTCCATCACCAGTGTAATAATTTTTGTTAATAGCATGTAACTTGGAAGTATTTCAGCTAATGGTATTTGAATTATGAGACTTATTTGTCCCAGATAAACCTTTAAGACCTAACATATTCGAAGAAAAAACTGTCTAAAAATTTCTATTAAAATATTAAAAAATTAAATTCAAGCTAAAATGTGATATTTTAAAATTTAAAGGAAATGATGGTGTAATTTAAAAAAATTAATTTATTATTCACATGGCATATTAATTCTTACTTTTCTTTACTTGGATGGGTAAAATAGTCTTTTTAATATTGTTTAAGAGCAGTCCAATCTTTTTCCTATCTCGTTTCTGGATGGAAATGAAAGAGGGTAAAACTCATATAATTAGGCCATGTTTGGTATGATGGAAGAGTTTTTAATGGAATCGGAATCGGAATCGGAATCGGAATTGGAATTGGAATTGGAATAGAATTGGATTTAAAAGTATGTTTGGTATAATGATGGAATCCTGATATAATTTTAATAAAATATAAGTATTTAAAATAAGAAAAGACTAAAGTGTCCTTTTTAAAATTAAAAAAAATTATATTGGAGGAGAGAGAAGGGGCAAATTGGAGAAAATGAACCATGGAATTGGATTCCATGATTCATATGATGGAATCCAATTCCATCAAATTTCCTTGAATCCTGATTCCAAAGAATCATAATTATTGCATACCAAACACACATGTTAACAGATTCCATGTCCAATTCCATTTCTTTCTCCATGATTCCAAACTACCAAACGGGGCCTTAGTGTTTACCCTATCATTCGGCTGATAAATATAGTGTTATCCACTAGGCGTTTTACTTATTGTCCAGCTGTTGCCTGTCATTTGTGCGTTTTACAAAAAAAAAAATCATTATAAATAGATAATTGGAAACCAACACTTTTTTTTTAGAGGTGTTCAATCTAGACCCGTCCCGATTGGCCCGATATCGTCCAGATCATATTGAGACGGGTCTTGTCCCAACTCGAAAATAATTGACACGGGACTTTACGGGATTAGACAGGAAAGAGGTTCGGGAAGGAACAAAACACGGGATTACCATTGGGACGTCCCGTCCCGAATATTATATATATTATTTTTTATTTTAAATATATTAATATAATTTATACTTATATTAATTATATTAATTATAATTTTAATACTTACAATTCTTATTTAAAACTAAAGTATTTTTATATTGATAATTTTAATGGCATGGAGTAAACATGGCAATATCTTTTTTATAATATATTAATTATATTAATATAATTTATTCTTATATCTATCTATTTAATAACTTTTATTTATAATATATTTCTTGCTTATTTTTAGAAGAGTAATTAGCTTAGTACATCTTCACTAAAGTAGAAGAATAATTATTTGATGTTGTATTTGACTTGCCTGTTGTTGCTAATCTTATAGCATAAAGATCACTTGTATTTTTTATTATAATATGTAGTGGTGATTAATATAATTCAATAATTAATTTTAAATTATTGTTATTTATGTACTTGTGTTATTTTGATTTTAAACTTAATAAATTATATAATTTAAAATTTTAATGAACATTATTATTCAAATTTTTTTCTAATATTATTTCATTTATCGGGACAGCGGGACGTCCCGATCTTGTCCTGGTCCCGTCCCGACTCTTAATAGGACGGGACGACTTTCGGGACAGGACAGGACACGGGACCAAAATTCAGTCCTGATCTTTTTTTTGGGACGGGACACGAGACGGGGGTGTCCCGATCCCGTCCCGTCCCGTGAACACCCCTACTTTTTTTATTAGTCACATGTGTCCTTCAACAATGTTAATTTTGATCAACATATAATTAAATATTAAATGTGAACACCTCTTTCAAATAAAATTTGAATGAAAATCAATACTTTAAGTGTATAAATCTAATTACCAAACATCTAGCATTCCCTCATGCTTGGCACTGATGAGTCTTTACTCCCGAAACTCAAGAGAAAAAAGGAAGTGAGTTAGACAAAGAGAGAAAAAACTTGAACAAAAAAAAAAGTAACTTGAACAAAAAAAAATAAAGTGACTTAGAGAAATTTTTTTTGTCGATAACCTTAGACCAATTAATCAAATATTGATTAATATGTAATCGATCAAACCCTACTTAAAAATGGTTATTCTGTTCAGAAATAAAATGTTTCAAATGTTCTTGAAAATTCTTACAAGTGAGTGTCACATGAATGGTAGCAATATATTCTCTTAAGTGTCATTTCATAATTTGATTCCTAAAGGTGTACAAAGAAAGTATTACTTAAAAGAAGTTAACTTTTTAAATGATATTTAAATTTTTCAAAGACGGCCAAAGGATTTCCTGAAAAAAAAAATTACCTTGAGAAATAATATATATACACTTATATATAAGTGTGTGCGTGTGCGCATGTATGTGTCTATAAGATTAATGATACTGTGAAAATGTTGGATTCCCATAAATGCGCTTTACCACCCCTTTTTCTTAAAACTTGTAGCTAAACTTTAAATGGAACGAATATTATTTTCACGTAACTTCCCTGAAAAATCCGGCTTTTATTATTTATATTTTAAATATTAAAGTCACATAAAATTTAGTCATTAAAAATTCCTACATATTTGTTTCAAGCATGCTTTTAGTTTTATTCGCAGTTTTGGTGATTTTTTTAACATAAAATTAAGCATGCTCTTCCTTTTTTTTGTTCTACTTTATGCTTAAAAAAAAAAAAAGACGTCAGAAAGTTGGCTTGAAAAACCAAAAACAAAGAACTAGTGAACACGAATGAAGGAAAATGATCGAACACTAGTTTTTTTTTTATGGTAAATTTAATAGTGAAATCATTAATATATGTTGTATTATGTAAATCTGACATGTATTACTAATACTATGACTCTATGAGTAATAATGAAACTTTTGATCATCATATCTCAATTATTGATTTAGTTCCTTTAATTTAACTTTTATCAATTTAATCCTTTATATTTTTTAAATTATTTTGTGAATCTTTTAAGTTTTAAAACATAAATTAATCCTTAAAATAACGAGTTAAAGGAAAAATCTATATAAAAAGTAGTTAACTAAAGACACCCAATATCATAAAGTGAGGAAGGGGGCATAAATACCCATAATGTTACATGTCAATTTTCGCTGATTTGAACTAAAAAAGGGACAAAAATACTCAAAAAGCGATGAGCTAGGGCATCCAGTAATATAAAGTGAAAATAAAAATATCCACAACATTATTAAAATTGGTGTAAAAATAACTAATATATCAAATCTCTTCAATGTTAACTGTTTAGCTGACACCTAAGTAGAAGTTAACTATTTTTTCGTCGATGTAGATAAAAAATGTTACTTTAATAGGTGTAATAGTAATCAATATGTCAAAACTTGAAATTCAACATAGTAAAATAGGTTGTGCATAATTGAAGATTAAGACTAAGCACACCTCCTATGCCACCCTACCTTAAGAATAATGTCGCAACCTTAAGTAATTTCATTTATAATAGGTTCAAAATTTTTAAATGGTTTTGCCACTACTACAAAGAAGCGAGTAATTTAATTTGATGCTCGATCAAAATGACATTTTCTGACGTAATATTTATACGATGGCTGATTAACTTTCATAAAATTTTACTTAGGAATATTTTTTATCCATGTCAGCGAAAAATGATAAACTTCTGCTTAGGTATCAACTGGACAATCAACATTTAATAGATTTAATGAATTGATCACTTTTGCATCAACTTTAGTAACGTTATAAATATTTTTACCATTTTTTCTTACTTCAAGCTACTAAATGCCCTTGGCTGACCATTTTATACGTACTTTTGCCCTTTTTTTTAGCCCACATCAATAAAGATTGGCACGTGGCATGCACAATTAACATTTAACATAAGAAACTAAAGTAGTTAGGATAAAATTAATGGTTTGGTCACTTTTGCACCCACTCATACAACATTATAGGTATTTATACTTCCTTTCTCACTTTATAATATTGGGAGCCCCTGGCCAACTATTTTTTGTATAGATTTGCCCTTTAACTCTAAAATAATTTAATGCATAAAGTATATTGAATTGCCATGTGTATGTAGTTAAATGGGAACAAATTA